GGGGAAGACGACACATGGTGCTGTCTCTGCTCCTTGTTGCTGGCTGTTAAGTTGTAGTACCCCCGCAAAACACCCACAGAGCTACTGGCAAAACTCTCCTCTGCCATGAAGCCTACAAAAACCTTGACAAAGTTTAGGCTGTTGGTCAGCACGGTAGGCAGTAGTCAGGGCACAGCACTGTATCACTGTTTACTTATATTCACCTGTTTACATCCATCTATTGGTCTCCTGACTTACACTTCAAGTGTAATCCCCTTGGGGAAGGGACCATCTTTTTGTTCTGTGTTCGTACAGTGCATAGCATGAGGTCCTGGTCTATAACGAGGGCCCCGAGGTGCTACAGTAATATAAATAATAAGTTAAAATTAGGGCTGTCGTTTAATCGCAGTTAACTCACGTGATTAACTAAAAAAATTAATCATGATTTTTGCAGTTTTAATCACACTGTTAAACAATAGAATACCAATTGAAATTTATTAAATATTTTGGATATTTTTCTACATTTTCATATATATTGTATTACGTGTAGTAATTGAAATCAAAGTGTATATTTTTTTTATTACAAATATTTGCACTGTAAAAATGATAAACTAAAGAAATAGTATTTTTCAATTCACCTCATACAAGTACTGTAGTGTAATCTCTTTATTGTGAACGTGCAACTTACAAATGTAGATTTTTTTTGTTACATAACTGCACTCAAAAACAAAACAATGTAAAACAAGTCCACTCAGTCCTACTTCTTGTTCAGCCAATCACTATGACAAACAAGTTTGTTTACATTTACAGGAGATAATGCTGCCCTCTTCTTATTTACAATGTCACCTGAAAGTGAGAACAGGTATTTGCATGGCACTTCTGTAGCCAGTATTGGAAGGTATTTACATGCCAGATATGCTAAACATTCGTATGCCCCTTCATGCTTTGGCCACCATTCCAGAGGTCATGCTTCCATGCTGATGACGCTTGTTAAAAAAATATTGTGTTAATTAAATTTGTGGTTGAACTCCTTGGGGGAGAATTGTATGTCCCCTGCTCTGTTTTACCCGCCTTCTGCCATATATTTCATGTTATAGCAGTCTTGGATGATGACCCAGCACATGTTGTTCATTTTAAGAACACTGTCGCTGCAGATTTCACAAAACACAAAGAAGGTACCAATGTGAGATTTCTAAGGATAGCTACAGCACTCGACCCAAGGTTTAAGAATCTGAAGTGCCTTCCAAAATCTGAGAAGGACAAGGTGTGGAGCATGCTTCCAGAAGTCTTAAAAGAGCAACACTCCAATACAGAAACTACAGAACACAAACCACCAAAAAAGAAAATCAACCTTCTGCTGGTAGCATTGGACTCAGATAATGAAAATGAACATACGTTGGTCCGCACTGCTTCGAATTGTTATCGAGCAGAACCCGTCATGAGCATGAATGCATGTCCCCTGGAATGGTGGTTGAAGCATGAAGGGACATATCAATCTTTAGCGCATCTGGCACATAAAAATCTTGTGACCCTGATATTGCCATGAGAACGCCTGTTCTCACTTGTGGGTAACACTGTAAACCAGAAACGGGTAACATTATCTCCTGCAAATGTAAACAAACTTGTTTGTCTGAGCAATTGGCTGAACAAGAAGTAGGACTGAGTGGACTTGCAGCCTCTAAAATTTTACATTGTTTAATTTTAAAATGCAGGGTTTGGTTTTTTTTACATAATTCTACATTTTTAAGTTCAACTTTCATGATAAAGAGATTGCACAACACTTGTATTAGGTGAATTGAAAAATACTATTTCTTTTGTTATTTACAGTGCAAATATTTGTAATAAAAATAAATATAAAGTGAGCACTGTACACTTTGTATTCTGTGTTGTAATTGAAATCAATATATTTGAAAATGTAGAAAACATCCAAAAATATTTAAATAAATGGTATTCTATTATTGTTTAACAGTGTGATTAATCGCGATTAATTTTTTTAATCACTTGACAGCCCTAGTTAAAACTACATTGAATGCTTTCCTTAAATTACTTCTCCATGTACAAAATGTCTATAGTTAGCACAAGGATGTTATTTGATTATGCAAAGTGGGTTGGGTGGGCTGGGAGAACGTGAATGAGAAAAACTATTCAGATGCAGTCCACCCTATGAAAGCATTTAAGAACCCCTGCTTAATACATTCAACCAAGGCATCCCACACCCAAAAGAAAGAACACACAAATAATCCCCTGCTAAATGGGCCAACATCCGTAGGTTCTTACTCAAGCCTCCATCATACTTTTGCAGGAATAACCCAGATAAAATAATTCCAGTAATCCTATGTAAGATTAGGAATCACATTAAGGAGCCTTCAGGCAGGGCCGGCTCCAGGCACCAGCCCACCAACCTTGTGCTTGGGGCGGCACCTGGAGGGGGGCGGCGCGGCGCTCCGGCCACCGGGGAGAGCGGGGCCACGGCCGGGCTCGCCGCCCTGCCCCCGGCGCTCTGGCCGCCGGGGGGAGAGCCGAGCCCCGGCCGGGGGGAGAGCCGAGCCCCGGCTGGGGCTCGCCGCCCTCCTCCCAGGGCTCCGGCCGCCCTCCCTCCCGGCGCCCTCCCCCTGGCCGCTGGGGGGAGAGCAGAGGGGCTCGCCGCCCTCCTCCCAGGGCTCCGGCCGCCTGGGGGAGAGCGGAGCCCCCGTGGGGGGGGCGGCGGCCCGCGGCTTTTTTGCCTGGGGCGGGAAAAAAGCCAGAGCCGGCCCTGCCTTCAGGCATGAATTTTGAATGTCCCAGGCACCAATCTCAGCTCCAGCAAGATTAGCATGGCTTCCAGGGAGCTTTTGTTTATAAATAATTGGGGGGGGAGCAGTGTTTTTTAATGCCATGAGCATTCAAGGTGATATTCCTGAGCAAATATCTCCTTCTCCCAAGAGTAAATAATGAAGTGCCCTTATTATAAACAACCCTCCTCCCCCCCATATTCATTCAAATCACAGTTTATATAATGTACTGCGGAGTTTTGGTCTATTTCAGCAAAGTACTGTAATAGTTTACAGTTATTTGTAATGAATGTGTTGCAGTTGTAACCATGTCAATCACAACGATTGATGAGCCTCGTCTTAGATAACTCCTTTGTTTCTGTTACACCACATCATTATTCTGCTATGAGAGTTACAAGACTAGTTAGAGATGCTATTGTAAAAAAAAATAAAAAATCAATCCCTAAACTTAATGTCAAGGGGTTAATTTTTAATTTTAGGTTAAATAAATATTTACAGAGTCCTATATAAAACTGATATTGCTACCTTATAACAGCAAGAGGAACTAGAAAAGAAAGAATTATAGAAACGATCAGCCGCAAAACCGTGCCAGCAGCAGAGAACACGTTCCATGTATACTCTTCCTTTTTGCATGTAATCAATATATTTTGAGAGACTGAATTCGAACCACCTCTTGATTATTTTAGCTGGATCCCAACTTCTGTAGTTTTCCTGTCCATGATTTGCTTTGAAGTTACCAATAACTTGATTAAATTACTTCTAAATTGCAAGCTGATTGTTCAGCGCTGGCATCAGAACAATAGACTTCTGTGTAACAGCATTACTGTGTAACGGTAATAAAATCTGAAGTACATTAATTTGTAATTGAGGTCTATGTTAGTTGATATTAAAACATTTGACTTAAATACTTCAGTCTTTGCTTAGACACAGGACACAAGTATGGGTAGCGTTACTGGAAGAACAATGAGCCAGATTCAGAAGTGATGAACACCCACAATTTCAACAGAAGCCCTTGGGAGCACTGGTGATCAAATTGAGCCCCACCAGAATACATACCAAATGCAAGCCTTCTGAATTTAATAGATCCCTGTGGAAACCACAGCCAAAACCAAATCCATGTCCAGTCACTTGAAACTCAAAGGCTAGAATCTGGTTTAATTTATGTATGCCGTCTGTCTGTATGTTTTTTAACTGCATTTTTAAGCATGACCCAGATTCCAGTATATATTTATACATAAGATGAAACACAAGTATAAATCCAAAGGATTCTTATAAAATGCACTTCGTGTACCAGTTATGAACCAGATTTTATCAAGGCACCCATTAAACTGAAAGGAAAATATTCTACTCTACACATCTCACCATTCAAGATTTTGAAAAGAAAAAAAATATAAGTAGTGCCTGATCATACACGAGATTCGTAGGGGTCTCCTGTCCCTTTCAAATTAATGGATATTTGTGTGGAAATGTTGTGAATCATATGAGCAGCAAGACACTGTATACATCACAAATATTTCAAAAACACAGATCCATCTAAGTTCCTATATATTAATTGCTTTTGATAAGCAGATGTTGCAAGATTATATTCCTGTAATAAAAAAAACTTCACATCAGAAGTTTACATGAACTGCCAAGTTCTGCAAAATGCTAGATAATAATGCGAACTATGATGTCTGCACAAATTTTAGTTGAAGCAGAAGTATATATACAATGTCAAACAAAATGGACAATTACAACACTGAACATTTTTTTTAATTATTTTAGATAAGAACATCCAGTTGAAAATAAACAATTAAAAATATATTCTGTTACACCCCTTGGATCTCATGCTATAATACAATGTGAAACTCTAGTACTATGATATTCTAGCATTTCATGTGCACGTATGTGCACACAACCTTTGTACAAATATTTATACCACAGCCATGGAGTGTATGAAAAAGAGGCTACAACTTCATTGTTCTATATGGATGTAGAAAACAGAAAACATAAACATCTTAATTTTATTTATACCAACTATTTGGACAATGCAATAATATAGTTTCAGACCAAATTACTTCCAATGCAATTTTATGAGTGTTATTTCTCACATTAAAAAGTCAGCATAATGCTTAACATATTGATGAAGTGTGGCATAAGCAATATATAACAAATATACTACATATTTCTCCATCATTGTTTTGCCCTTTTCTAGATATAAAGCAGGCATGTGTGTGCTGTCCATCTAAACACATATGTGGACAAAGGATATGTAAAGTAAACCAAACCACATAACCCGTAGTGTTAAATGTTTTGTGATAGCAGAACAAAACAATCCTCAAAGACAAATGAACTTCTAAATGAAAATTGTGTTGCAGTTATTTAAATGACTACTTGGAAATCTGAGAACTACAAAATATGATTTTGCAGGATTTCTGCTAAAACCTGAGGAATATTAAACTAGCAATAAGCAAGGCATTTTCAAACAAGAAATTTGTAAAAAATACACATTTTTTACTATAAGCTTTCATATATAAAAAGACAATAAGAAATATAATAAAACCTATCCATTTAGGACTACATCTTCCCTAGTAAATAGTTATTTATTCTCACTTGCACTACATACAGTACATTCGATTTCCTACACAGAAAATGTACATTTCTTGTCCCTGATGTATATTTTATTGGCAGTGATAGCAAGCTGTTTTATTATCAACACTCACTTCTGTAGCTTATATAAACAGCACCAAGTTTTATGCAAAACAAGAGTATTAGTATGAGTACCACTTCTTCATGACAAGTGAAATATTTAAATTAAAGAAGTAAAAAAACAAGAAACATCAGAACCAAAATGCGTATTTCCAGAAACATACCAGAATAAATGGCTCAGAGCTAAGTAATGAGTAACTGGGAGTTTTGCATAGTACAGGGCACTCTCCTGTATGAATCCACCCATCCATTGATTGTTCCTTACCCCCCAGGAATGGAAAGCAAAGTGGACAGGTGCTAATGAATATAGAAGTACACAAAAAAATTACTGGTTAAAAAAAATTGAACTGTACAGTTTCTCATTATCTCTGTCACAGTGCAAAGTATATTTTAAACACATTTTTAAAAAACTGAATACATATGTACAGTATATATGTATGTATCACACTCGCACACACATATATATACACATAAGCATGAATACAAATATCCATGCCAAGTTCAGCAAAAAGACAGAATGTTTAAAATGTAGGTCTTCTGTTCCATAGAAATTTGGAAGTCTGTTCACCCCAGAACAGTTGGCTGTTTAAAATGGCCAAGAAAATGCCCCCCTGCATAAATTGACAACATACTGTACATTTGTCCTCATAATTCACCAGAGAACTGATAACCACACTTTATAAAAGCTTATATTTGTATTAAAAACACACAAATCAAACAATTCATATGGCTATTCCCTTTATGGAAATCTGTATAGCATAATTTAGATGAATATTACTTTTCTGGAGCACCAGACAAAGAGTATTCACTAAAGAGATGAAGTCTACTGTTGCTTCTTTAAAATTTTCTTATAATGTAAAGTTTTACAGCCACCCCTGTAAAAGTTATCAAACACCTGATGCTGTTTTTTTCCTTTGGGATTAAGCTGTTTTGGTTCTAAATGTGAATGTGTCAGTTGAAGTCTGTAGCAGAGAATGGATTTCTCAGCATTGTGTGTGAAGTTAGTACTCATGAAAGCATTGTGTTTTTTAAAAAACACACAACAGCAATTGGCTTTTTGTGTGACGTTTCTAAAACATTTTAGAACACTAGAATGTAACAGTCCTTTTCACTTGAGAGGAAACTTTGCAAACTGAAGACGGTTTATGATGACAAAATATTCTTAAATAAAGAACATGTCTGTGAACCTGAGAGTTAAGTCTGATATGAATACGTACATTACTGTGTCTCCATTGGCTAGTACTTTCCTTGTTTAAGTCTCTCAATATGGTAGCATAGCTTTAATGCTGGCCCCAACTTCAGTCCCATATATTTCATTATCATATCGCTCCTTAGTAACAGTAGTGCCTTTCCGTCAATTTCCTACGGAAGGAATAAATACAATATACAACTGCTTTAACAGGTTACATGATATAATCAAAAAGTATATTGTATTAGTTTATACCATAGTAAAACTTTATGTAGCGTATATAAAACAGTAATTTACTATAATTTAATAACTCTGATGGCTATTAAAACCAAACTGATTTTTATTTAAATATTTATTTTAGTGTTTTCTAAGGCACCTTTTGGTAGGTACTTGAGAGGTTTGCACAAGTCAATAATAAAAGGAATTAGACAAAACCAGATACTGTAACCAAAACAAAGGTAACTGGCCCAAGAGGAAAATCTGGAAAGGAAGAGCTGCTAAAGAAGGGAGGCCTCTCTAGTCAAAGATGAAATGACCCAAACACTGAGGCCTTGCACTGAACCTTGAAAACAGCTGTAGAGAGACTCTGGCATGCATGCAAACACCCACACCCACAGAGGAAGGGAGTTATACATCATCTAGGTCTGTGACACAAGACAGATTGTCCAGCCTAAACCAGATGGAATGTTAGGATCAAGAGCAAGGACAACTGAACAGATTTCTACTGCCTTGAAAGAAGCTGTTGAAGTTGGACAGGCCTAAGTTATTAAAAGCTCTACATAGTATTGGCAATTCAGCAAATATTTCCCTAAAATTGCATACTGAAACCACTTAAAAAAAAAAAAAAATAGGCTGAAAAATACGATGAAATGTGATCCCTATTCCAAAAATGTCCAGAAAAACCAAGAAGGGGAGGTGGTTTTGGTTTTTTACATCTATCTATATCAATCTATCTATATTTCAGTATCTTGAAGTTTCCTTTGGACCTAGCTTCCTCCAAACTTAAATGAATGTTTGTTATGAACTGGTGCAGATGAATGCGAAATGTTACCATTTTACACCCATTTTGCCCAGGTGTAAAGGAATACACAAGGCAGTAGAGACTCTGGCTCGTTGGGTCCACAATAAAAAAAAAAAGCCAGACACTTCTTGGTGGGGACACTGCCATTTTGAGATGACAGTAGTTCTCTATTAGGCAGCCCATCATGTAACCCACACAGTGAAAGGAAAATGGGGCAGAATGAAAGGAGTATACAGGGACTGACGTGCACAGTTAGAGCTACTAACTTTTGACCTTCCTAAATATATCATCTAGCTAGTTCTAGTGAAGATTTGCACCGTCTTGGCTAGATCAGACCAGGTAAATGCTTTTCATTATTGTTTTTAACCTTTCTTCTCTCTCCTAATAAAACTGTGTTGTCTAAATGCAACCAAGCTTTGCATTTGATTGTTAATATTAAGGATCAGCTGTCCTGGGTGAGAAGTGGAATACAGATAGGGACCGTAAATCTCAAAGAAACTCCAGTTGCAAGTGATCGGACTTTGTCAGTGCCCACAGATCCCGGGGTTTGGTAGGAGCCAGGAATGATGGTACCAACAGAACACAGTCTGGTACTGATGGAGCCCAAAGTTTACGGGCTTTCTTGTTGTGCTTCTGGCACTTAGTATGCCCTAACTCCTCATGAGCCGAGCTGGTAAGCTTGCTTACGGCAGAGTCAGACTTCTCTGAAGTGGACTTTGGGAAGCCTAGGTTTCATGCTTATGAGAGTGCTTCCTGACAAGACCCCACCATGGGCTGTCCCACACCAGAGTCAGACTTTGCAGTAGGAGGCACACTCCTTGCTGAGTCAGGCCAATGTGCGGGGGCATTCCCCGGCCTGGATCTGATTGGGGTCTCATGGCCTTCTCCATGAGGTATTTGTGGAGACGAAGTTCCCACCCTTTTTGGGTATGGCTGGGAAATGATCAGCAAGTACTGTACCTTGCCGCCATGTTAGCTTCCCCAAGGCAGTGCAGGCAGTGCTGGTGGTCAATGCTGATCAAGAAGGATCATGGGCAGGAAGCACACAGTTTGAAGCCTGGAGTCCTGGACATAGTCCGGTACTTGAACGGGGTACCGGGGAGAGGGTCCCCCCAGGAGACTAATCTAATGCTAAACAGTAAAAACTATTAAAACTGTCAAACTATTTGCAAACTAGATGATTCTTATTTTGTAGGCCGAAGACAAAGCTGCAGACTCTAAAGGTTCTGACCCAAACCGTGCGGCACTGAGAAGGAACTGGAGAGGCGTTTGGTCCACCCTGCCCTTTATCCCCTCGGTTGGAGACATGAGGTGAGCCAGGGCGCATGTGCGGACCAGCAGACACTACTTTCAAATTCTCCAGCTCTGGGCACATGAGTAACCCACAGTGGAACAGAATAGGGACCATCACTCAAAGAAGACGCTACAGTTACTATCTCTAGAAATACCGTGGATGGAAGTCCTTGTGGCCCTCAAATGATGGGGCACCAGGGAACACCGTACTCATTGTATAGTTAGTAAGGCCTGGTCTAGACTTAAAAATTATTCTGACAAAGCTATGGCCCTCAAGGAGTGTGAACAATTCATACCCTTGAGCTAGGGTGACTTCCCATGCCAAACTGGGCAGGACAGATCAGGAATGCAGAGTTCAAGTCCTGATCTTGGGGGCAATGACTCCAGGACAGCATTTGTCCCAGATTCCCTGCGGTGCTGCTCCACACCTGCATAAGGCTCAGGATCAGCGCCAGCCTCTTTCCGGTGGGAAGGCCCATGTGGACCTTGACCCCCCTCGCCACGAGGCCACGCCCCCTGCTTCTTTTCTCCCCCAAGGTCCTGCCCCTGGCCAGGCCAGAAGCTGGAGACAGGCAGGAGTAAGAGCAGCCCAGGGAGCCCACACCTATCACCTGCCCTGGGCACCTGACAGCAGCCCCTAGCCCAAGGGCGGGCAAACTTTTTGGCCTGAGGGCCACATCGGGTTTCGGAAATCGTATGGAGGGCCAGTTAGGGGAGGTTGTGCCTCCCCAAACAGCCAGGTGTGGCCCGGCCCCACCCCCCACCCCCCCCCCCCCCCCCCGCTTCCTGTCCCCTGACAGCTCCCCAACCCCCATCCAACCAATCCTTCCTGACTGCCCCCCTGGGACTCCTGCCCCCCTGGGACTTCTGCCCCCATTCAACCCCTGTTCCCCGCCCTCTGACCGCCCTGACTCCTATCCACACCCCCGACCACCACCCCGAAAGCCCCTGCCTTCTATCTAACCCCCTCTGCTCCCTGCTCCCTGCTCCCTTACCGCGCTGCCTAGGCACCAGTGGCTGGCGGCGCTACAGCCACGCCACCCGGCTGGAGCCAGCCATGCCACCGGGCAGCACAGAGCACCGGGTCAGGCCGGGCTCTGCAGCTGTGCTGCCCCAGGAGCTTGCAGCCCCGGCGCCCAGAGCATTGCGCCGCCGGCGGGGCGAGCTGAGGCAGCAGGGGAGGAGGAACGGCAGGGGGGTGGCCGGGGGCTTGCCTTCTGGACCAGTAGCACAGGGGCAAAGCAGGAGGGTCCGGCGGGTCCGATGTGGCCCACGGGCCGTAGTTTGCCCACCTCTGCCCTAGCCTGTGTCCCTGCCCCCTGGGGCATGCTGCCCAGGGCAGGTGCAGGGTCTGGGGCTCCCCACAGCAGCCCGGGCTCCCTGGGTGGCTCTTACTACTGACCAGCTCTGGCTTTTGGCCTGGCCAGGGGCAGGGCCTCGGTGGGGAGAGGAGCAGAGTGTGGAAGCTCGGGGGGAAAGTAGGAGAAGGGTGCTGGGCCTTGGGGAGGAAGAGGAGGAGCAGGGGGCAGGGCAGGCCCACGGAGGGGAGTGGGGCTCCTGCATATGTCCTGCTTTTGCGTTTTGAGCGCCATAGCTGTGCGGACCTAACCCTGGTGTAGATGCAGATAGACTGACAGAAGAATGTTTCCGTCGAACTTGCTACCATCACTCAGGAAGCTGGAATTCCTACGGCAATGGACAAACCCATTCTCTCACTGCAGGAAGCATCTACACTACTGCACTACAGCAGCATAGCTATGGCAACGTAGCTGTACCACAGTAGCAGAAGTAGTGTAAACATGGCCTAAGCAACAGCTGTTTAGAGCAGTCTAACAAATTCACTGCATAGAGCAAGTAAATGGGGGGGGTAAGAGTTCCCAGGCTTAGCAAAGCTTGAAGACACTTTCTAGAGAAAGAAAATCATCTCTCATGAATTTATATGTGGGTGGCATCTGCCCCACCTTTCATTTCAAATGCAATAATAGCAGGGAAACTCACACAAACTTCCTGCGCAGATCAGTCATGTGCTCAAGTCTAGCAGAATAGAAATAGAAAATATCATACGTGTCTCCTGAAGAGTTCTGCATGGGGTGCTAATGCCTGAGGATCAGCTTCTTTCACAAATCGCATCACTTCCTCTATTGACCAGGTAGAAGGATCCTTATTTGGTACTCGTGAGGGTTCCCTTTTTAGTGCACTGAGATCAGGACCTGTTGTAGAACTTGCAGCTTAAATGTAAAACATTGGCAAAGGGAGAAATGTTGTAAGTGTCCATGTAGTAAAAACACATCCTTGCAGACTCAAGTGAATGGAAAAATACAACATTGTTAGTGTCCTGTATTAGTAGCAGTCCTCTCTCTTCTACCAGTGTATCAACCTGGCTAAGATCAATCAAATTCTTTTACAATTTATTAAAATGAAAAATATTTGATTTTCCTTCTAAAAAGTCATCGAGATGTTCTATTTGGGCCACAGCATGAATTTGCATTCAGATGACTTCTACAACTGCAGATACACCCAATGGCATAAGTGTTAGCATATGGATCAATTTGAGACATTTGGTTCCTAGCTCCCACGACACCAGCAGCTGGGAATGCTATGCAGGAATGCAGTGCTCCCTGAGGGAAGGGAACCCCTCACTGCAAATTTCAGTGACCCTTTGGCCAACTTGGCCGCAGTACTTGAGAAGCTGAAGAAGGAGCTGTAACCAGCACTGCCCAGCCAGGCAGGCTGCAGGGTCTTTGATAAGCTAGCAGAGTAAAAAATCATATGCAGGATTTCTCTGCCTTGTACAGTATTAGAGTTAACAGGCTTAAACTCTGTATTCTGAAATCACGTTAGATGGTCTGACATGTTTGGCAAAGTCTGACTACTTATGTGAAGTCTTGGATGTCAAAACACTTTGCTTCATAATTCATAACCCACTGACTTTGCAGACTGCTAAAAAGTAGGTTAGCAAAGCACATATTTTAAAAGGTTAAGTGTATGCCATACCTTCAATCCTCCTCTGCATTCGATTCCTGTTGACTTCATAGTAACTGCTGTTCCCAGCAGAGCTTGATGACAGCCTGTGTAGGATTGGGGCTGAGTTTGAAGCAGCAGTCACCGGCTGAAGGGAATTCCTGTAATATGCTGCACTCCCTGAGATACGATATTCAGTGGAATTTCGGCGGGTTGGGCTTGAAGGATTTACTGAATTGAGTGCAGAATCCATAGAGTCCTCAGAAAATCGGTGTTCTTTGGGAGTGCCATTTTCTTCAGTTGGCAATGTTTCTGCTACATAATATGAGTAACACAAATACTGATCTGTTCAACATGTTAGATTTTTGTAACCTTGTTATTTAATTCCATGCTACTTATTTTTAACACTAACTACAATTTTTAAACCTGTCAACAAGCTCCCCATAAAGCAAGCACCAAATACAAGTAGCACCATTCTCCTTCTCTTATTAAGTAAAAGTAGTCAGTAGGAAGTTCCTAAAATACATTTAAAGTTACATCTGTAAAAAAACCTGATTATTGTAGAGTTTGATGAGAGCTTGAAGGTTACTTTGGATCATATAAAACATATGAATTTTCAATACTTCATTTCACTATCATTTCATTCTATACAAAACAAAACTATATTATCAACAAAGGGGGAGAGCTGATTCTCTAAGAATTATCTGAAGGTAATATCAATATATTTGCGGTTATAGGCATAGACATCATCACCAAGGAAGCATATCCACGGTTTAAACATTTTTTCTAAAGCGCAGCCATTAAGCCTGTGTTATGTTTATCCTGTAAGAGATTTTTAATATGAATAAAAGATAAACCTACTGTGTAATATTTAATTTGCCTAGTCTAAACAATATAGAGAACCATCAACTTCTAATCAGAAACAAGTGTGCAATTGTGTATCTATAGATCATACTATCTTCAGATACAGTGGCCCTCTTTATGAAGTCAACAGATTGCAAACAGTTGCCACAATTATTTCCTGTATTGAGGAAAATCCTGGTATTTCAGATACTGCTGTGCTGATTATTAAGAAATACTGACCACTGTACTCCACTTACACGCAGGCAACTCTTTTCTGCATATGAAAATATAAATGAAACAAATCAATTAAATACATTCTGGCTTAAGAAAGAGGTAACAACTCTTTGATAAAACTTGAAAAAGGAAGTGTTTATCAGCTAATCTCTAGTCTTTAAAACATATTCTCAAACTCCACTTGGATGCTTCACAGGACTGAGTGCAGAGCGTAGCCATACTGCTTTTGAGTTAGCTAAAGGTTGTTGCTATACAGCAATATAACAAAGTCCTTCCACCTGCCCATAGGGCCTGAGCGTTTGGTCTGTTTCAGGTTTTTTTAAATCATGACTGTTGAAGACTAATAATATAGTCTGATTAAAGCATGGCCCGGATCGGTCAATATGCTATTTGAAAGAAAAGAAATTAGTTGGCAAGAAATGGTTCCATTTTTTAGCAATAATCTCTCTCTGCTCACGTTAGACAAACATCTAGCACTGAGAAAGAAAAAAGAAGGGGAGTAATGATGAATAAAATTAAGAAAAACTTTCCACTTCAAAGAAAACTGCGTTGAGATCCCAGCATAGAGTATCCACCTGCCAAAAGCAGCATCTCTAGGAGCAAGAAAATATATATTACACTTGCTCATGAAAGTGCAAATGCTAAACCCATCCTGCCACCCTGCAAATCTTTTCAGTACATGTGTACATCATATATACCCAAGATGCAGTCTTTACTCTTTTGGATAAAGACTGAACTGCTGTGAAATACGCTTCTAAAACGCATGCTCTTTACTCTTCTAGCAATTGTAGCTTTCATTTATTTCCTGCATCACACCAAGATCTGGAATTAAAATGATGGTAAAAGAACCGTTTTCCTGAAAACTTGTGATGTTTTCACATGTGGCTTTAGAGGTCTACCATATGCAGATGCACTCTTTGTCGAAACTTGGTTTAGAAATATTCTTGAGATCTGGAAGCACTGGGTTTATTTTAGCAGTGATTATTTATAATCCTGAAGGAAAATAAGAAATAAGAAATTCTCTCTATGGTTTAAGCAATTAATTAATAAATCCTTCTTGCTGACATAACCCAATTGCTAAATGAAGAAAGAAGGGTTTCAAGGGCTGTGTATTTGGTTACCTCTGCTTAGAACACCAATTTTCTGTCACAAATATTGAGTAAGACTGGTTCAGGCCTTAAAAGCTTAGACTTTCCAGAACTGGACTAAAAGGAAAACTATCACTGTGCAAGAGATTAAAAAGTCTGCTAGACATGCATCTATATCAAAAGGTGAAAACATCCTCCTCTTGGCTACTCAGGGCCGCATATAATATATCCCTACCCCTTTAAGTTTTCCAATTTAAAACATCATTGAACTGAAAACCAATAGTAACCACACTCTACACAAAAGTTCAGAGAGTTTTCAAGATGTGAAGTCAATGATTAGCAATAAAAAAAAAAATCAGAGGACTTGAAAAAAACAGGAGAAGCTAGAAAATGAGACATCATTGCTGGAAGTTTCAGTCTGGGAAGTAAAAAAAAAGGGGGGGGGATCATAAATGAATATATAAATGCTGAATAGAAGAGTTTGAGAATCAACTGTAGATATAAATCTCAGGATATTTGGTTTGTAGAATAAATTAACTGGAGGGGATATACTGCAATAGGGATTAATGTTTGGAACCCTTTGGCTTAACCAGCATACAACTTCTAATGCCTTAGAAAGGGTCCATTTTATTGCAAGGAAGCAGCGGACCCTGTTAGGAAAAAAATAAAATGTATTTTTTTACTCGAGACACTAAGAAAGCAGAAAGACTGTCACAGTGGATAATGTTACATGAGACTCATATTTTACTTATCCAGATTATGCAGCCTTATCTCTGAAGTCAGAGACCTTGGAGATAATGGTGGTGTCTGAGATGAAGACTTCTTTAAGACATCTTCATGAAATTCTGTGACAGATGAGATTTTTTTCTTTTCAATATTAGGGATTTGAACCTCTCCTGAAATAGGCCTTGGATTCACATATGCAAGGTAGGAAATTCACAGAAGTCAGAATTTAAGGCCTGAAGTGCTACCAGATCATCTAGTCTGACGTCCTGTGTATCACAGGCCACCAACACCACCCAGCACCCACACACTAAACCCAGCAACCAAAATTAGTCCAAAGTATTGCAGCCTACAGGAGACTAAACTATTATGTGCCAGAGGGAGAGGTAGGAGGTGCACCAACGCCCCCGCAATGGCAGGGAATGGATTAAGAGAGCTATACGCTGCACAGGAAGGCAAGCCCCCCGCCTCCTCCCTCCCCCGCCTCCCACAAGATCAGTGCCAATCTGACCCGGGGAAAATTCATTCCTGACCCCACATATGGCAATCAGTTAGACTCTGAGTATGCAGGCAAGAATTAGCGAGCCCAGCACCTGAGAGAGAGAGAGAGAAAGAATGCTCCGTACCATCCTAGCGCACCAGCCCACCCCATCCAGAGTCCCATCTCCAGCTATGGCCATCTCTGATGCTTCCGAGGAAGGAGACAAAACAATCCAGAGTACACTGGGGCAAAATAATCTCTTCCTGACCCCTGCAGGTGACCATCTGAAACACTGAAGCATGAGATTATAGGGATATAAGACAAACTGGTAATAGCCTGTGGGGACACCTGAAACATTTGTATAAACAGGCATTCAGATAAACAGAAGTGTTATTTTGAGCTGGATTCCTGCTGCAGGCTGGAAGGCAGTAAAGGTCTGGGTACAGCTGGGAAGCAGGGGGCTGAAAAGTCACGCAGGGGCACTGTTTTGTCCGACTGGCTACTGTTGTTACCCTTCCAGGTTATGAGCCAAGGAAAGGCGACACCGTGTCAGATCTTCTCCTGCACACCCACCTGCCCTATGGCTGTCCCAGGGCCCAGGCTGCCTGTTCTGGGCAGTGGCTGGACATGGCCCGAGTGGTGATTGTGATGTTGGCAAGATCTCTGCCCTGCTGGTCACTGGGAAGGGCTGTGTCCAACACTGTGGGGCTGTGTGATGGGAGGAGTACAGACTAGTGATACCCTTGTGGATAGGGCGGGTTACATGGACTGCACTTTGAACTGGACACAGTATTGCAAATATCCCTGAGCAGATTACGAAGAAAAAGCGTTGCTAAAAGAAGATCCTTTCCAACAGATATTCTTGGTCTTTCTTGCTAACCAGCCTGTGAGTGAGAGATCTGAAATTACCTCCCAATTTTCAGTAGAGGACACTGCCTTAAAAGGCTGAGTGGGAGACATACAACACTGGAGAATATTTTGCCTCATAAAAACCTTATTGAAAACTTATCAAAATGTGTGAAGACAACACAAATTCTGATCCTTAAATATGGCAACACATTTATTTTCCCTACAGATTTTTTTTTGGAAATCCAGGCAACCATACTTTATAATAAATGAACTACTAGTTCTTAAAACTTCCTTGTACTATATAGTTATTAGACCTGTATATTGAATAGGGATAGGAAAGTGATCAAGCTTATTTTGAGTGCACAGGATTCCTTACCGGATGCTGCAGCTAACTGGCCTACATTTGAATCATACATTTTGGTTTGCTCCAGTTTGAGCAACCCTATTTTAGTACAGCTACGTGTACTATATTTATTCATGGACATACCCAGACTCCTCTAAGTCCATTAGAAATGTCTGACTCAATTCCACAGATTTATTGTATGTATAAAATAGTATCTCCTTTTTATATCAATTCTAAATTTGCTACCAATTTCTATGTCCCCTGCTTCTGTTGTTATTAGACTAGAAAAGAAATGACTGATCTGTCTTAAATAAGCCTAGCATTTATCCTCATCTCCTCTTGCTCTCTAAATATAGTAAAATGGCTCCATCTGCAGAGGAGCAGAGATCTCACTGAAGCTAGTGGGAGCTGCAGGAGCTCAGAACCTCTCAAACGTCAGGTCACAAATCTCTAATTGACTCTCATAATCAACCCTTGCAAATCTCCTGCCATCCTCACTGTCCTTTTCTGAACTCAAGTTAGGCTACCAACAAACAGTGTAATACTCTAGCGGTGCAGAGAGTATGTGTATTTTACATAGTTGTTATAGTAGTTTATTTTCTATCCCATTTTAATGGGATGTAGCATCCTACTGGCTTTTTAGTAAGCTGTTGCACATTAAGCAGACAGCTTCATTCATCAACGGTCTGCAGTGAATCTTTAAACCCTTTCCCAAAAAAGAGCTAGTTGCGTTAGAGGCCAAAGCTCCCAAAACTACATTAGTTCTCCCAAAGTGCAATATTTGTGCCCATTCACCAATAATTTTACACACACACACACACACACACACACACACACACACACACACTGCATTCTGTCAACTGCTGATGGCTAAGGCTAGGCAAAATTAGTTGTACTTGTTTCTCTTTTATTTGAAATACTATGAACACAAATAACCCTCCCACAAAATGCAACAAATACACTTAAGTTACCTTCAGATGGGTGAGCGTCAGGTCTGGGGAGTTTAGGGGAGAGAGGGGCAGTGTAGGGTGGAGAATCCTGAGAATATCGTTTAGTACTTCTGTTTTCTGATATTTCCTCTTTTGCTGTCAATAGAAGAAGTTACAGTCTTTCATTTCAGAACTAATAAAATTGTTGGGGGAAAGAGGAAAGATACAAAAGTGAGGTGAATGTGTGCTGTATTCACTCACTAGATTTTAATTCTGCTCCCTATATTGTGTGTCTTGTAAGGACTGTAGCACAACTCAGACAGTACTACCTTATACCATTTTGAAACATTACCCACAAGTCTTCAGTGACAATATCTTTCACTATTAGCTTAACCTTATCAGGCAGGCTCAGTTATCACCACACAAACTTTCAGGGCTAAAATATAGTTGGGTTAGACAGTTATCACCCAAGTTGCCTTGAGCTGGCTTCACCCTGAAGAGAGTTCAAAATACAGAGCTTTTGGTTTGACAGACAAGATAAGGGAAGCTTAATGGCATATTGCATCTATTTTTCCACCTTATTAACCAAACTTACAAAATACAGTCAGATTACAGCTTGTTTTAACTAGCAGCTCCACTGAATGAAAAAACACTACTGACTTCCAAAGGAGTACACAGGTACACAGCAGCTTCTATACAGCCATCCACGTTTCTCCCCTAATAAGAATCTTCTGAGACTGCAGCCAGATCAAAAGTTGGCAGTTATGAGCTAGTGGCTAGAGCATTGGACTGTGAGACTCAGGAGACTTGGCTGCTATTCCCAACTCTGTCACTGACCTGCTGGGTGACCTGGGGTAAGTCACTTTTCCCATCTGTAAAATGGGGATAATGTTACTGACCTCCTTTGTAAAGCGCTTTGAGACCCACTGTTGTTATTATTATATATCATATAGATGGCAGCTATATTTCTGCTAGAAATATTTAACCAAAAATCAAGAGCTACAGGAATAGGGTAAAAACAGTTACTAACCTTTCTGTAACTCTTGTTCTTTGAGATGTGTTGCTCATATCCATTCCAAGTTAGGTGTGCATGCGCCGCATGCACTGTTGCCGGAGATATTTCCCTCAGCGGTATCTGTCAGGCCGCTTCTAGCACCCTCTGGGGCGGCGTGTTCATGTGCCGGTATAAGGGGCTTGGTCCTCTGAATGTAGAAGGCCATGGCACACCTAACATCCAGTGTGTGGAGATGCTGCTCCTCCAAATTCTTGTGCAATTTTTGGAAAACTGGCAGGAAAAAAACCTGATTACTATGAAACTGTAAGACCACCTTTGGGAGCAATGCTGTGAGGGGGCACAGTTGAAGCTGGTCCTTAAAGAACACCGTACACAGGCATTCTGATACAAGGACCATGATTTCTGAGACCCTCCTGGCCGAGATAATCACTACCAGGAAGGTAACCTTCCAGGAGAGATATAACAGAGGGCACGATGCCAGCGACTCAATGGGAGGGCTCGTGAGTCTTGAGAGGACCACGTTTAGGTCCCACAAGGGAATGGGTTCACGAGTTTGAGGGTAAAGTCTCTCTAATCCCTTGAGGGAGAAGACTGACTTTCTGTCCATCAGAGGGTGGAAGGCTGAGATTGCTGCTAGATGCACCTTGATCGATGAAATGGCTAGGCCCTATTGTTTCAGATGGAGCAGGTACTCCAGCACAAAATGGAGGGGTGATCGAGTTGGTGAGAGGCCTCATTGGGATGACCACTCCAAAAAACGCTTCCACTTGGTGAGGTAAGTCGCTCTAGTAGATGGTTTCCTACTGCCTAGCAAGACCTAGTGGACTTGTTCTGAACAAGCTAGCTCCGCCAGATTCAACCATGGAGCTTCCACGCTGTCAGGTGGAGGGTCTTGAGGTTCGGGTGGAGCAGACGGCTGTGACCTTGTGAGATCAGGTCTCTGAATGGTGGGAGCGGTAACGGGGCTGCTACTGCCATATCCACTAGCATGCCGAACCAGTTTTGACATGGCCATGCAGGGGCTATAAGAAAAACCCTTGCTTTGGCTTGCCTTACTTTCAGTAGGACCTTGTGTACAAGAGGAATGGGGGAAACGTGTAGAATAGGTGCTTTGTCCATGGGAGAAGGAAGGCATCTGTGAGCGAGCCCAGGCTGCAACAACATAGTGAGCAAAACTGCTGACATTGTGAACAGGTCTATAGGGGGAAACCCCCACCTCTGAAAGATGGATCTTGCTATGTTGAGGAGAAGGGAACACTTATGGTGAGAAGAGAAAGACAGATCTGCCAGAGCGTTCTGGGCTCCCGGAAGGCAAGAAGCTTTGAGGTGGATGGAGTGCTTCCCACAGAAGTCCCACAGGCGAAAGGCCTCTTGGCACAGCGTGGACGAGCATGCTCCTCCCTGCCTGTTAATGTAAAACATGGCTGTTGTGTTGTCCATGAGCACATGCCTGCAATCTGTGGTAGAAACACCTGGCATGCTAGGCGGACCATTCTGAGCTCTCTGAGCTTTATATGCAAGGAGAGCTCCTCCTGGGACCACAGTCCTTGAGTCCTGAGGTGCTCGAAGTGAGCCCCCCAACTAGATGAGATGCGACCGAGATTAGGGATACTGATGGCTGGGGAGTGACAAAGGGAATGCCTGCCCTCACCAACTGGAGATCCCTCCAGCAGTCGAGGAAGGTGAGGACTGGGGATCGGAACTGTAAGCACTCAGTCCAAGTGGCGATAGCTCAGTGAGCTTGAAGGGGTCTGAGATGCAGTCTTATGTGCTGTACCACGTAAGTGGACATTGCCATGTGGCCAAAAAGTTTAAGGCAGAAACGGGCAGTCTTTACGGGTGGGCCTTGATCTTTGATATCAGAGCTGACATTGTCTGGAAGCAGGCACCTGGGAGGAAGGCTCTGGGCTGGGTGGAATCAAGTACCGCATCGATAAACTCTATCCTTTGGATGGGGACAAGAGTTGACTTTTGCTCGTTTATCAATAGGCCCAGGGATCGGAAGGTAGCTTGGACTAGACGGATGCTGGCTCTCACCTTGGCCTTGTACTGGCAGGAGCCATCCTCCTCTTCTTCTGCACCGACCACGTCATGCAGCCCCAAGTCCTAAGTATTGGTACCGGGCTTGGTACCAGAGTCCATGTCAGGTGCTGCGGCAGAGGGGCCCTTCTCTTGGATGCCACCAAGTACGAACAGCTGGAAAGCAGTCCCTGTACTGAGGGGGAACCCCACAAATTCCAAAAATGCCACTGGACCTGCATAGGCCACTGTCCATCAGGCCAGGCGCCTGGAGGGGGCCTCACATCAGGATCAGATAGAACATAATTCGGGTACTGGTATTGGCCCCTTGGTTGGGCGCACGACTCCATCTCCGACTCTAAGAATGAGTCAGCTTGCAGGGACGGTACCCCTCACCTCTGTCAGCCAATGCCCAGGGTCTGGGGAATGGTGCCAGGGCAGAGAAGACTTCATCGACATCAGCAGGGTCGGTTTTCCTCTGGTCAGTACCAGCGGACCCGGTGCTGGATAGGACCTTGGGGCAACATGCCCCCTACTGCTTGACGACCTTGGCAGTGCTGGAACTTACCCCGCAAGGGTGGGTGGTACCAGGAGAGCCATCTGGTCTCCTGGCTGTTGCAAACACCTCCGGGGTGGATGGCACTGCTATCCCTCTGGCACCACAATGACCTTCCGGTCTTGATGGATGGTCCTGCACCAGACTCAACAGGAGGGCAGAGTCGACAGTGCCGTTTGCAGAGTGGGGGTAGAGGAATGGTCCAACAGAGGTCTCACTCTGCTGCACTCCCCGGGCTTATCCTTCCTCAGTTCTGGGGAGCATCCCCTCTTGGACCCTGTTTCTTGTGTTTCTTCCTTGGCACCAGTGAAGGGAAACGATGCCGAGAGACCCATGCCGCCGGAGGAGTATGCCGAACCAATGCTGTGATACTGGGTGCAGAGTCTGACCGGCTTGGCTCCAATGCTGGTCTGAGTGCAGGTTCCATCAGGATGGACCTTAGCCTAGCCTCCTTGTCCTTTTTCATATGAGGCTTGAACTGGCGGCAGATCTGGGAATGCTGTCACATGTGAGCCTTCCCCAGACACTTCAGACAGCTGGAGTGTGGGTTGCTCACTGGCCTGGGCTTGCTGTAGGAGGCAGATGATTTGAAGCCTGGAGATTGGGGCATGCCCGGCCCTATGGGCAGAGGATGCCCCTCTACGCTAAATATGGGGCGGGGGGGAGATCTAACCATATACACTAATAGTAAAATAAATAAATGAAGGTAACTAAACATGTGAAAAAAAAAAAAAAAGGAGGGAGTAACAGAACCGCTGATTGAATGCCCTGTTGCAGCAAAATCATTTGTTCCAGTGACGGGCGGTAAGAAGGAACTGAGAGTATGCGGGGCCGACCAGGCCCCTTGTATCAGCACATGAGCACACGGCACCAGAGGGTGCTAGAGCTGGCCTGATGGATACAATTGAGGAAAAAATTTATGGCAACTGTGCATGCGGTGTGCGCACACCTTACGTGGAATGGACATGAGCAAGCACAAGAAGAACAACATTAGCTTGGCTTCTTAGTCTATTTTTCTCTTCCTTTTTGGTTGCCTGTGTACAATCATTAGGGCAGTCGATTAATCGCAATTGACTCATGCGATTAACTACAAAAAATTAATTGCGATTAAAAAAATTAATCGCGATTAATTGCACTGTTAAACAATAGAATACCAATTGAAATTTATTAAATATTTTGGATGTTTTTCTACATTTTCAAATATATTGATTTCAATTACAACACAGAATACAAAGTGTACAGTGCTCACTTTATATTATTATTTTTTATTACAAATATTTGCACTGTAAAAATTATAAACAAAAGAAATAATATTTTTCAATTCACCTCATACAAGTACTATAGTGCAATCTCGATCATGAAAATGCAGCTTACAAATGGTTTTGTTTGTTTGTTACATACCTGCACTCAAAAACAAAACAATGTAAAACTTTAGAGCCTACAAGTTCACTCAGTCCTACTTTGTCTTCGCAATTAGCTGAACAAAAAGAAGTTTGTTTACATTTATGGGAGATAACGCTGCCTACTTCTTATTTACAATGTCACCTGAAAGTGAGAACAGGTGTTCAAATGGCACTTTTGTAGCTGGCGTTGCAAGGTATTTACGTGCTAGATATGCTAAACATTCATATGCCCCTTCATGCTTCGGCCACCATTCCAGAGGACATGCTTCAATGCTGATGATGCTCATTAAAAAATTATATGTTAATTAAATTTGTGACTGAACTCGCTGGAGGAGAATTGTATATCTCCTGTTCTGTTTTACCTGCTTTCTGCCATATATTTCATGTTATAGCGGTCTCGGATCATGACCCAACAAGTTTGTTTTAAGAACACTTTCACAGCAGATTTGACAAAATACAAAGAAGGTACCATGTGAGATTTCTAAAAATAGCTACAGCACTCAACCCAAGGTTTTAAGAATCTGAAGTGCCATCCAAAACCTGAGAGGGACGAGGTGTAGCCCATGCTTTCAGAAGTCTTAAAAGAGCAGCACTCCGATGTGGAAACTATAGGTCCCGAACCACCAAAAAAAGAAAATCAACCTTCTGCTGGTAGCATCTGCCTCAGATGATGAAAATGAACATGCGTCGGTCCACTCTGCTTTGGATCTTTATCGAGCAGAACCCATCATCAGCATGGACGCATGTCCTCTGGAATGGTGGTTGAAGCATGAAGGGACATATGGATCTTTAGTTCATCTGGCATGTAAATATGTTGTGATGACAGCTACAATAGTACCACGCGAACACCTGTTCTCATTTTCAGGTGACAATGTGAACAAGAAGCGGGCAGCATTATCTCCTGCAAATTATAACCAGACTTGTTTGTCTGAGCGACTGGCTGAAGTAGGACTGAGTGGACTTGTAGGCTCTGAAGTTTTACATTGTTTTATTTTTGAATGCAGTTATTCTTTGTACATAATTCTACATTTGTAAGTTCAACTTTCATGCTAGAGATTACACTATAGTACTTGTATTAGGTGAATTGAAAAATACTATTTATTTTGTTTTTTTACAGTGCAAATATTTTTAATTAAAATAAATATTAAGTGAGCACTGTACACTTTGTATTCTGTGTTGTAATTGAAATCAAAATATTTGAAAATGTAGGAAACATCCAAAAATATTTATATAAATAGTATTCTATTATTGTTTAACAGCGCAATTAATCGCAATTAATTGTTTTAATCGCTTGACAGCCCTACTAAACATCTCTAACATTAATGCTTTTAGTTTCAGATGGTGACCTTCATTATGAGAGAGTGAGAGAGAGAGATTTTTTCTACATCATTTTCTGGTCTTACTCCTTTACTTTTAGGATTATTTCATTTCAACTCTCACTTCTTCAGTTTTCTATATAATTATCTTAGTCTCATTATGGGCTAAGTCCTGGATACTGCTGACACTGTAGTCAGCAGCTGGGTGCAGGAGGAGACTTCAGGGGTACCATGCTTGTCCTTGCAATCAAGGTAAGGGGTGCTGTTTTGGGTGGGGTGCTGTGTTCTTCACTTGCAGAAATGGGTTCCTCATTTCCTAAACCACCACAGCTGCCATCTATAAATCCTGGTTTCTCTCCCTACCTATGATAGACTCTATGTAGTCTCAACACCTTTGAAATGGTCACAGAAGGGAGAAAGGAAGAATCAGGATGAAGCGCCTTTCAGTTGGGTAGAGGGGGGCTGCATTGAGTCTTATAGGGCAAACTTCTTTTAGGCAGGTAATAATTATATTTTGCTGCTGTGAGTTAAATATATTTTACTATATATGCATAAATCAAGCAGATTAAATGTAAAGTTTAAACTAGATCTTCTGCAGCATCACAGTGGGATGATGTATACATTGCCTTGTTTGCCTAAAGAAAAGCATTTGCTTAACAATACAGTTTTTCCACATGTGGTTTAAATCACCCCATCACACTAGGACTAATTTTACTAAGAACCACACAGTACTCATTTCAATCAATTCAAGTTGTAGGAGGACATATCAAAAAAATGAATTGCACAAAATAACCATACACCCCAAAACATGTTGTACTTGAAAGAGAAATAGTATAATTTAGTATTACCTGGTTTGTTCCTATCATACTCTGTAGGACTATGTGCACTTCCCATATAAGGGCTGAAGGGCTGGCTACTAAAAAGATTATCACACTGCAGACTGTGGCAGAGCTTCTCCAAGAAACGCAGGACAAACGATGCACTGTTTACAGAAGGAAGATTGATGGCATGTTTCTCCCCATCAAAGGCGGCTGTGAGTAAGAAGATGATGTCAGACACCATCCAAACACCAGGAAGTAGAGTATAACACCACCACCAACTAAAATAGAATACATCTTGCTTTGATTAAAACAGCGTAGAGGTAAAAAGAGAGGTAAACAATTGTTCTGGTATCTTATGAGACTATTTAGCAAATTTACCTTCAAAGGGCCAGACTCTGATCTCAGTTACATCTGTGTAAATTCAGATTAGCTCCCCTGATAGAAATTAAACATTGTCTGTGTTATTTGCTTATTGAACAGCAAGAAATGTCAAATGTTTACAGGAAATAAAACAGAAGAAAACGTTCATAGTACTTGGGGATTTTTGAGGGACCTCATTTGTTAACATGAACTGCTCATACTCATCTGTTGCAGACTGTCACCTGTTACAATTACAGTGACGGCCAGAAGTAACTGGTGTGCCATTTTAAGAAGCTGTGTTATTCAACATTATAGAACCCATTCCAGCAGTGGTTGTGCAGGCCAAGCTCCCATTTATTTAAGTAGGAACTCTGACAATGTAAGGAAACCAAGAACAAACACCAATAGTAGTTATGTTGCTTTAAAAGTCAGTTTATTGCATGCATCTTAGACAACATGAAGGGTGATATGCTTATACTTTATTTTATATTTGTTACATAAGAACAGCCATACTGGGTCAGACCAAAGGTCCATCTAGCCCAGTATCCTGTCTTCTGACAGTGGTCAATGCCAGGTGCCCCAGAAGGAATGAACAGAATGAGTAATCATCACGTGATCCATCCCCTGACGCCCATTCCCAGCTTCTGGCAAACAGAGGCTAGGGACACCATCCCTGCCCATTCTAGCTAATAGCCATTGACGGGGTTATCCTCCATGAATTTATCTTGTTCTTTTTTGAACCCTGTTATAGTCTTGGCCTTCACAACATCCTCTGGCAAGGAGTTCCACAGATTGACTGTGTGTTGTGTGAAAAAATACTTCCTTTTATATGTTTTAAACCTGCTGCCTATTAATTTCATTTGGTGACCCCTAGTTCTTGTGTTATGAGAAGGAGTAAATAACACTTTCTTATTTACTTTCTCCACACCAGTCATGATTTTATAGACCTCAATCATATCCCCCTTAGTCGTCTCTTTTCCAAGCTTAGAAGTCCCAGTCTTATTAACCTCTCCTGATATGGAAGCCGTTCCATACCCCTAATCATTTTTGCTGCCCTTTTCTGAACCTTTTCAAATTCCAATATATCTTTTTTGAGATGGTGCGACCACATCTGAACGCAGTATTCAAGATGTAGGCGCACCATGGATTTATATACAGGCAATATATTTTCTGTCTTACTATCTATCCCTTTCTTAATGATTCCCAACATTCTGTTAGCTTTTTTGACTGCCGCTGCACATTGAGTGGATGTTTTCAGAGAACTATCCACAATGACTCCAAGATCTCTTTCTTGAGTGGTAACAGCTAATTTAGACCCCATCATTTTATTTATATAGTTGGGATTATGTTTTCCAATGTGCATTACTTTGCATTTATCAACATTGAATTTCATCTGCCATTTTGTTGTCCAGTCGCCCAGTTTTGTGAGATCCCTTTGTAGCTCTTCGCAGTCTGCTTTGGACTTAACTATCTTGAGTAGTTTTGTATAATCTACAAATTTGTCACCTCACTGTTTACCTCTTTTTCCAGATCATTTATGAATATGCTGAATAGGACTGGTCCCAGTACAGACCGTTGGGGGACACCATTATTACCTCTCTCTGTTCTGAAAACTGACCATTTATTCCTACCCTTTGTTTCCCGTCTTTTAACCAGTTTTGACAGGCCTGGATCCTTCCATTTTATTGTTTGTATTGGGGTAACACCTGGTTATGGACCAAGATTCTTTTAACCTGTTACCAATCCATGAGAGGACCTTCCCTTTTATCCCATGACAGCTTGTTGTATTAAAAGCATCAATAGGAATTAAAATGTTTTAGGGAAAAGCCAAGCATCATCTTCTGGCAAACAGTGAGATGAAAAAAGTTAAGAACACTAATTCCAGGCCTCTAGATGAGCAATTCTCATTGCATTAGCTGTGTACTTTCTAACTAGAAATAATGTATAATGTAACACATCACAAATCTAACAGGTAACAAACATGTAATTTATGGCAACAAAGAAGTTGTTATGAATTTTAAAATTTTTACTATTTTGCCTTCCTGCTTTTCCTGCTCATCGAGTATGATTTCGGTGTGTGCAAGAGTTTAGTATGAGAGTTTCCCTCCAAAAAATAAGAAGTTCCTGAGAGCATCATATTCCATTGATAGGGAAACAGAGGTGTGCTTTCAAAAACAATACCTTTGCAAGTATGACATTAAATCGCAGAAATCTGAATTAGGAGCCATACCATACTGAGAATCATTCCACCATCAATAAGGGGCAGTGTATTCAGTTTTAAAAACATATCTAGAGTAGTTTAAACTAGTATCAGAAAAGTGATACAAATAACACCTCTAATGTGAAGCGATGTTGTACAGGTATTTTTATAAATGCAGTAAATATAATTTAGTATAAAAATGCTACAACAGAACCTTACTCATTTGCTCTCATAACTGGATGATGCATTGAGGATTACTGAATTATGAGAATCACTGAATTAGGGACAAATCCTGGCCATTCTTTCCTTCATGGCAAAGAAATCACTGAAGTCACTAGATTAACAAGACTCTGAAGTCCAAATGAACTCCTAAAGACTCACTGTACCACTGCAGGGTCACCCACAGAAGACTCCGATTGTTATTTTGTGGGTACCCAGGGAGCAGATTCCACCTAGCTCTGAATCAGTTAGGAGACTGAATGGGCTACATGGCCTCCCATAAACCTCCTGACAGACATACTGCAAAACAGCACTGTCCATCACAACGAAAATCCAAGATCCATCACGATGGTCTTGTGGTCTTCCCATGTGACCTTGGGGAAGTCACTTACTCCCCGTGCCTCAGTTTCCCATTTATAAAATGGAAATATGCTTCTTCATCTCATAGGGATGTTGTGAGAGTAAATCCAGTAACAATTGTGAAGTAATCAGTTGTTATGATGAGGATCACTATAGAACAGACCTAATAAATAATCTGGGCAAAAGAAACTCTCCCTAGGCCCCACAAAGCACCATGGCAATCATGGGAGAAGAGTGTCATATTGCCTGCAAAACTCCTAGCCCCAATGAAAATACTATTTAAAAAAAACATGTATGGGAACTCCTCCTGGTCCTTGTTCCCTGTGTGATAGCTTTTTGGTGGTTTTCCCAGCTCCATAGCTGTTGTCACAGAATCTAGAGGTGGGAGAGACTTAAGGTCATCTTGTCCATCTGCCTGTCACTGCAGACAAGACAATTTGTCAAGACAATTCACCAGTCCAGACACAATTTACTTGTTTATCCTTTACAATGATAAAGTTAATGAAAGAAATGATGTTTTTTTAACCAACAAGTCCAAAGATACTCACTCTACCTGAGTGTCCAGTTTGAATTTTGCAAAGCTGCCCAACATACTTTATATTTACTAATGTTTTGTCCGGTCTATTCAGAAAAACTGTCAAACACCGGAACTTTCCTTGGGACATCATTCCACAAGCCATAGGATCAGTTTTTCCTGATATTCAGACTTCATATTCCCTTTCTTAATTTTATTCTGTTATTCCTCATTTTATTCTGCTAAGCAATTCCTCCCCCTGCTCAGTGTTCGCACCTAGAGCTGGTTGGAAAACTTTTCATAAAACATTTTCTCAACAGAATCTATCGTTTTGTTGAAGCTGAAACATTTGAGGATAACATTCAATTTCAGTGAAATTCTGCCAGAAACGAGCTAGGATCCCAATGTTTTCTTTCCAGCTGGCCTGCCCAGCTCCTTGGCAGCCTGACTAGCAGACTAATGGGGAGCTGGGAGCAGGACTCCCAGGCCCTCACTTGTGACTCCTCATCAGCCTGGATTCCCAGGAGAGCTGGATGAAGAATGATAATTCCATTCTGTGGAGAATTTTGGGCTTTTGTTCCAAATTGGAACTAAACCAAATTTCAAAATCACGAAATCCTCCAGGAAACAGAATTACAGTTGTCTGCCTAGTTCAATTCACACCCCTTACTTATACATCCCTTGGGCCAGGATTTAGTCCTTTGTAAGCAATCAAGGATAATGTGCATCATGAATGTATTTTGTTCTTGCAATTTGACAGTTTTTGGTGTTAATTATTTATGACAATACTTAATGTGCTAGTAAACATGCTGTAGTATATCCTGTACATATAAAAATGTCTTAGTAACAAAACCTCATCTGTACAGAGGTGCTAAACCTTTTTTGAAAAATAAGGAGAGAGCTCCATTTTGGGAACAAACTGGTGTGCAAATTGTGCGTGAGGATTAGAGAAGTTCTGCTGCATGTGGGTCAGGATGCTGTATTTTAACACTGTTAGGCAGCGAGTTCTTTTATGAGAGCTTAAATAAACCTGCCTTCCACTAATCATCTTTCACATCTGGTATTAATATAAGGAGATTAAAGTAAGACAAACCCTTTTTACTGCCAGTGATGAAATTATGAATTAATGCGGCTTACTACTATACAGAAGATTGCCAACCCAGAAGGGGAAAAAATGACAAGATGCAGATACTGAGTTTGAGCTACGAGGATAATTTATCTACAGAGCTGCCCTTGGCATATATAAGAAATAAACCCACTCTGTAAGTAGAGCAGTGCTTCTCATCCAGAGGCCTGGGGCCCCCTGAGCAGGTTTCAGGGGGTCCGCCAAGCATAGCCGGCATTAGACTTGCTAGGGCTCAGGGCAGAAATCCGAAGCTCTGCTGTGCAGGACTGCAGCTTGGGGCTGAAGCTGAAGCCTAGGCAGACAACCTGTGGCGTGGGGCCCCGGGAAACTGCCCTGCTCGCTACCCCTTAATGCTGGCCCTGGCTTTTATATGCAGAAAAACAGTTGTGGCACAGCTGGGGCATGAAGTTTTTATAACGTGTGTGGAGGGGGGCAGGGGGGGCCCTCAGGCTCAGAAAGAAAAAGGTTGAGAACCACTGTAGCAGAGGACATAGGTGCTCAAACACTAACACTGACCCTAAAACGCCTCTAGAATATTAGTACAGGGGGAAAAAAGAGAAGCAACAGCAGTTCTGTTTAACATATGGAATCAGTTATCTGGAACCTAAGCAGATTAGTTTTAAACTTTTTATCCACTTGGTTACAGCATCAAGAAGACAAACACTGTGTATGGATAAGACGTGAATTAATAAAGCTGAACTTTGACTTGCACTGAATTTACTTGACAAATGTTTGGCTATGGCTATTTACTGCGGTATGCAAGTTTTACTTTGTAAAAAATTGAACAATGCTATATGGTATATGTAATTTTATATAGTCACTGCTGAATTCAAATTAAGAAAACTGGCTGTATCATTATATACCCTATATTAAGATGTAAATTCAGTGCTGGCCATAGATACACCACCAGTAAACGTAGCCACAGTTGGGTATTCTTAGCTATGCTTAAAGATTTACAAAAGTAACATAAAAATGTTAATCATTGCTTTGCTACTACTTCAACTTCCCTGCTCTACACCAACTCAAATTTCTCAAACAGAACCCAGTGAACAAATTGGAAAAAATCAAGGACTTTGCATACCTGTTATCATCTCCCCTCCATGATGCCCTGACTTGAGGAATCCAAAGACTGTTTTGGATAAATAGGCACAGTCTACACAGGCCTGCACAGCCTGCTGAAGTACCACATTTACAGGACCTGGTCCAAAGTGGTCTGGAAGCTGCTGAACTTTCTTCTTATCCAGGTGAGGTCCAGAGTTCCCATGCTTGTTAACATAGACGCAAACTGAAAAATTACAAGCCATATTTATGGAATCTGCCCACTTCAGGCACAATCACACTCAATCAAAACGTGTTTCAGTGGCTCTCACTGAAAGTCATATTGAATTTGATTGATGTACACTAAACAAAAAACACCATACACCTTCTGTGCATACACTTCTTTCTTTAATAACACAGTTTACCAATAGTTAACTACTTAGCATGCAGTGCAGCAATGGATAAGTCATGAAATCCTGGCAGATAAAAGTAAAAACAGGATTTTGACCAGGTACCAAAATTGTTAGCTACCTAGGCTTCCCCTGTCCCCTTTAGAAGACCACATTGCACTCAAGTACCTCCCCTCTGCATCCCAGTATACTTTAAAGAAACTCTAGGGCAATCTCTCTGCACTGGATACTCAAAATGGCATCGTCATTGCATTGTCTCCTCATTGACACAAAATGCAGTTCGGTTCTCCAGTATTTTTAACTTTTAAAATTGTACCTACTGCACAACAACATGGTGGTGCCAAACTCCATGACAAATATCTCCAACCCAGCAGCCATTCACAGCAGTATTCGTTTCCTTCTTTCTCATCCTGATGAATCAGCCTCCAAAACCCTCCTACATCACACTACCATGATGAGTTTATCCCAGCCTACAACCATCTGTGCTTGTTACTGAACTCCATCTGCATATGGGTTCCATTACACTACATCTAACCCGGTAGATGCTCTGAACTATAAGAATACAGGGGTCAAAGTGAAGACCTTAACAAAATGCATTACTGTAAAATGCCCTGTGTTATTTCTAGAGTTAAAATCTGCCAAAACAACAGTCAAGTTCATTTTAGGAAGACACTTTCTATAGAAAGAAAAACAAAAAAAAAGCAACTGTCTGTTCAAGAAAAGACAGGCACCTAAATAACTCAGACCTATCACAGGGATCATGATCTGTGGTTAAGCAACAAGACAAAATAAGGGGTGAAAGCCTGACCCCACTGAAGTCAATAGAAATGTTTCCATTAACTTCAGTGGGATCAGGATTTATTGTGGTCTAATAAGGATATGCCTTGGTGGTGAGGCAATAGACTGAAGCATTAAATAAGATAAAAGAAACCTGTTTTTTTTTTAATGAATTACAGTACTATTTGTGCTCAAATGAAACTTGGATTTTTCAAACAACTGATACTTGTAAAAAGACAGGTTTCAGAGTAGTAGCCGTATTAGTCTGTATCAGCAAAAAGAACAGGAGTACTTGTGGCACCTTAGAAACTAACAAATTTATTTGGGCATAAGCTTTCATGGGCTAAAACCCATGCATCTGATGAAGTGGGTTTTAGCCCACGAAAGCTTATGCCCAAATAAATTTGTTAGTCTCTAAGGTGCCACAAGTACTCCTCGTTCTTTTTGTGAAAAGACTGTAATGCTCCCGAACTCTGCATTCATGTCTATTTTCTGTTTGACAGCAGAAGCTGTGGGAGGCACAGATGTGGATGTGGAGAGAACAGGAAAACTCTGCAAAATATGTTATTAAACTCTTATTTGGGCTCAGTAATGTTTGTAAACCTGACAGGTTTCCTTTAGTATGAAATGATTGCCTATTCTGCCCCAATGTTGTCTAGCACTGAAAGAGGGGTAGCTGTAATGACGTGGAGGAGGGAAAGCAGAGGGACAGTTTCTTTGTAAAAGCAGTTTAAAAATGGCAAAAAATTAAAAACATAGCAAACTTTTCCCACCGTTTTTTTTTTGGAGGGGTGGGGGGAGGTGCACTTTAGCAGGTCCCAGGATTTGGTGACGACCAAAAAGCTGACAATTTACAAATTGTCCCATAACTGTGTAATAAAGAGACTACTCAGAGGTAGTTCTAACTAGCTCTAACTAACTTACTCCTTTTCCACCACCCATTTTATAATATAGTTCACTGCCTTTCCATTTTAAATGAGCTCTTGTTTTAACCTGGCCCATTTCTCCTGGATTTTGTTTTTTCAGTGACATAGTTTGTCATCTGTATCTCTATTTCCATACTCTCTGGAGTGTAACAGTAGTGTCTAATGGCCTTTTGGCAACAGTCATTTCCAGTACGTTTTGCTACTGGTTGGGATGGAAGTAAGGTAAGACAAAGCATGTCCTTTCTTCTTTATCAAGCATTGTACTCCAGGCTATGGAAGACTACTGAAAGTGCAATGGACTTTCCTATTTACACACCAAAAAGCATGCTAACCAGACACCAAATTCCTGACGTTCTGGTGTTTCTTGCCATTGCACATGCACCAAATACCAGTCTTACCTAAGCACATTTGGAGAACTGCACTATAAAAATATATTTTCATATGAAGATGTTAGCAAAACAATTTATTTTCAGCACGTGTTTTAGAATAATAGTAGCATAAAACAATATAATTATTTTTATTTAAAGGGGGAAGTAATTTCATACATTCAGACTGCCCTTTTATACCTGTGGATATAACTGCTGCTGTTGCACCAGCAATGCCAACTCCATCTTTATGTATCTGTGTACTGCCATTGTCCCCCTCAGGACAAGTAAGTGGAGGAGAAGGTGCAGGAGGAGATTTCACTGGCAAGATTTTTTTCTGTTAAAAAAAAAAAAAAACACAAAATCAGCAAGTGACCTTTTGTTAAACAATTCTCATTCATAAACGAACTATGCACTATCAATTACCATTCACTACTGAGGTAAGGAACACACACCTTCAGAGTTCCACTTACTACAGTGAAACTCAACTCCCCAACAGGAAGACGTTCTAGAAACAGTAACCCACTCAGGGTATTTAACTAAAACAAGTCAGCCAGACCGTTGCACTATGGCTTTGTGACATGGCTGAAAGAAGTCATCTCTGGGTTATGTCTACACTGGTGTAATTTGCAGCTTTGATAGATGTACCCATGCTAGCTTTCATTGAACTAGCATACTAAAAATAAAAGCATAACTGTGGTGCCATAAGTAGCAGGATGGGCTAGCTGCCCCAAGTATGATCTCGTGTAAAACCTTAAGGAAGTACTTGGGGTGGGTAGCCCCTCCTATTGCTATGACTACACTTCTATTTTTTCATGCCCTAACTCAATCAGAGTTAGATCAGGTACGTCTACCTGAGCTGGAAATTACACCTCCAGCTCCAGTGTACCCTCTGTCTAAGTAGGGAGAGAAGAGAGGGACAAACTGAGAATAGGCAATATAGGTGCCAAGAAATAGGGAGCTCATATTGCTGTCTAACTCTTATCAACCACAAACTTGGCATGTTGGTTTACTATCCCTCACTTCATGCTCTGAGCTGATCAAGTCTCTGAATAGGCTGATTGGGCTGTCAGGCAGCTCCCATAGGCGGCCTCCTCATGGCTCTGCAGCAAAACACAATAGAATGCTGGATAGGGCCCTAATATTGTGAAAGGAAATGCCAGACGAGCCACCAAAACTACAAGAACTAACACATGCATAATGAGAAGTCACTCATGAAAAAGGAATCATTTATGTCAAATCAGTAGCTTGCCAGTTGATGGCACTGCATTTGTAACATTAATCTTCTTTTCACTCCAAACAAATTATTTTAAAAATTATTTTTAACAAGTATAGCCTCAGTTAAGATTTGTTTCAATGCCATAACCACCTCATCCTTCCAGCTGTGGTAGTGCCCTTTTACACTGGAGCAGGTCATCTGAAGTAGCATAACAGTGAATTTGGTGTGGAAATGTTACTAATGATCCTGTTTCACTTTCATGCTAAATGGGAAAAAAAACCACCATGCTAAATGTATCTTGCCTTCTGCTTTCAGCTCCACTTAAACCTTTCAAACCTACAGTTGGTTTTGATAAACATTCATATGTACAGCTCTAAGAAACAGGCCACGTAAGAAGTTAGGGGATGAGGGGCTGTCATGGAGAGGGGAGATTTACTGCTCACATGAGGATAGCTGAAGGCCTGTGAAGGCCTCCAGTGGTGCTGGGTAGAGGGTGAAAGAGAACAAACTCACTGTCAGCTGCTACTATACTTGTTCCGCAGATGCAGATTGTGCTTCCCTAAGCACTGCCCTGCAGCTGCAAGTTGGTGCACAGAGAGGTGAGCTCATGCAATATTACTAGTGCAAAATGTTAATAGACTCAGGTGTCATGCCCCCCCGAAATTGTGAAATTGTCTTAAAAATAATAGATTTGGGGAACTTTATTTGCTTTCTCATTTGAGTCTTTCTCATTTGCGACCAGGAACACTAGAAATTTGCTGAGATTCTCCATGATCTCTTGTCTACTTTAAGTAAAAACACCAAATCACAAAGCTTATGATAAAATCATGAGGGCTGCTACCACTGCATATGCTCTACACAGCACAGGTTGGCCAGTCTCCACCCCCTCATGCTACATATTATAGGTGCCTCCTGCATTGGAAAATGTAACATGAGAGGGGATCTCAGTACACACATGCACAGAGCAGCCACAATTTGGCCCTTTATTACACCAGCGGAGCATTTCTTATTCTAATGTTCTAATAAACTTTGTGAGCATACATGAAAATACAGAGGATTTAAAGCTGTTCTACCCACATTCCCCATTTTTCATCATCAGAACAGATGACATTTTAAAAAATGGCTATTCCCATGTGCTCATACATCCCACATAAACTTATTATTGCTAGTACTTAAACTAACATTATGACCTAAGTCAGATGTACCTCAAACAGATGTTTGCCTGCCATTTGCAGACAGCAGAGAGCTGGCTGGTGATGTGGTGGGGGGTTCTCTTCATTGCTAGCTGCTGAACTGCATTAAAAGCTAAAATTCACTGAGGCTGGAGTTTTCAAAAGGAGACTACAGCAGCTAGGAAATCAGCTCCCATTGGCCTTCAATAGAATTTGGGAAAATAATGCCCTCAGGTGTGTTTGGAAAACCCAGTCTAAATGATTTTCTGTATCACTTTTGCATGTAAACAGTTGCCATAAGGAGGTTGAGATCACAAATGGGAGATGATCTGTGCAACTGTGAATGGGAAAGGATGAGAAAAGGTGTACATGACAATCTTTCCCTTAAGCCGTGAACCAACAGATTGGTTTTGGCCAAAAATTGTATTAAAAAGCTACTCATTAAAAAATGTTCTCACATAAGACTTTTATGATAGCTACTGTCATTATTTGATTTTGGAAACAATTTTATATTGACACACTGACTTTTCACTTAAGTATCTTAAAACAACCAAAATACAGGTCTTTGAGTTCACTCTGAGCACTGCTGCAACATCTATAAAGAACTGCTTTAGCTTGCTTTGAAATCCATGGTACATGGCAAGGACTGAGATATTTGGTAAAGGTCAACAGGCCAGAAAGGGCTGATTGGAGAGTCTGGCATTGGGTGGTGACTGAAGTTGCTATAAAGGATAATAAATATAGTGGCAGGAGTTACATTGTACTGATGATGGACACAGATGGTTTAGAACAGATGGGATAATATTCTACTGAACATTGCAGTCAGTGGCAGCTTCCCAGAGTGATGCAATAAACCTAAATATCCAATAACAGAAAGGACTCAAATCATCCTGGATACAGAGAATAAACATGTAGTTAGCTACAGCAAAAGCTCCAACTTCCTAGGCAATCCAGAAAGTCTCTCTATACAACACTACAAGAGGTGACTTCACTCTACCTTTGGGCCATTGCTACTCCATAGCACAGAAAGCCATAGATAACAGAGAGGAAAATTCAACATGTGAAGAGATGGAGACATGAAAAAGAAATAATATGAACATTCAAGTGGGAGACACGGAGGGACAAACATCTTCAACAACTAACACAACAGTGCATATACTGACTGGCTACTCCCCACATCCTCATTAAGGACCAAGGTAAAGCCCGTATATTTGAAATACTGAAATATGTGGTCTGTCTGTTTTGACTGTAGTCTGGTTACTCGTGTTGCTACATTAAAGAATACTTTTAAAAAGTAATAAATAAAAACAGTTATAAAGGGAACAAATGTTTTCCTTTCACATTAGAACTGAAATTAATAAAAAACACTACGTATTGAAATTGGGAGAAAGATGGTAAGGAGTCAAAATACAGGTAAGGGGGATTTTGCATTGAACTTTATTGCACTGATATTGGGAAGTATGTGGATGAAAGACACTACATGCAAAATAAGCTTATTTTCTATTGCACAGATAGAAATGCTGAATATTACATATTGATAACAAACAGTGAAACATGTTGACAACAAACAGATATTGCGACAGAATGGACTGCTTCTCCATCTGAGAATTATTTGGAAATTCAAACAAATTCACCATGTACTGATCAAAGACTGACCTCCTTAACTATATATTTTCAAACTAGCATAAAAAGAACTTGTGAAAGGCTTATTCAGTCTGAACTGGCCTTAAACATTTACTCTAGCGGCCTTTAAGCATAAGGCATTTTGCTGTATTTAATGTTTGTTCTAAGATGTGCAGGCTTCATGATATTCAGTATGAATCTCACAAGCTCTCTGAGTGTGGTCAATGGGACATTTTATTTGTTTCATCATTCTTTTGGTAATACCTGCCATGTGTCAAAAAGTGTGTGTGTATAATATTTCTTGAGTTAATTAAAATATTCTTCTGTGTAAAGTGTGTGGTAAAATGGAAGACATTCATAAAAACAAATAAACAGCATCCTATATAAGCAGTAACTCTGTTCAAACAATGCTGAGACAGAATCTTTATTAATTTTAACCAATGAGTCATTTTACAAAAGTCAGCAGAGCTTTATATTTCTACTGTTTGATGGAGAGGGTGAATTTTAAATCACATTTACAGTAACTTAAGCAACATATTACACAATGCCGCAGTAATAACTTTTTATGGAATTTCAGAAGAAATTCATTTTTACGTTTTCCAATCTAAAATTATACACAAAGCCTTGATTTCTAATGCCCTAAAGTAAGGTAAACATTGTGCTAACTTAACATTTATTTCAGTAAGAAAATAATTAAATCTAATAACCTAAGGGATTGTCAAAACTTGGAAATTTACTGAAAAAACTATTCTGGAATAGTAAACAATCAATCAATCAATCCATCCATCCATCCAGTGGATTAATCTAAATGAGAAAAAGGGTCTTTTATTCTAGAATAAGAGTGTTCACATGGTGGCTTATCTCAAAATAAGAATTCCAGAAAACTTATTTTGGTAAATTTCAAGTGGAGACAAGCCGTAAGTGCTTGAAGGGAAAACAGCATCAGACTGTACATGGAATTATAAACATGTTCAAAATAACGAATCACTACAAAGTTCCACAATACAAATTAAAGTAGCAACTGTAACTAACCTTTCTTCCAGGTTTTAAACCTTTTTTCCTTGTTTTGAGATTTTCTGTAGAGGTGATTTTTGTCAAAGGAATGGTTTTAGGAGATCTTCCCTTCCTAGGAACTGTAGATTGTCCAGGGGGGTTGCCCCGACCTGTTTTCCTGCCACATTGTGCTGGTACTGGAGCAGACTTCTGTGGAGACTGCATTGAACGCCGGGTCACTTTGGAAAGGGAAGACTGGGCTTTTGCAGCTCTTTTTGTAATGGAAACTGAGGGGAAAAATAAAAAACAAAAACCTCACCTCAAAATTAATATCAGATTCTGAAGGCATTTTGTGTCATTGTCCAGAGATTAATTTGTGCTACAAAAGCAACTTTTCTAATGATTTAAAAAACTTGCTACATATTAATTTCAATTTTAAAATCAGTGTAAAATGAAGATATCTAAACGTAACAAGTGTCTGGTATCAAACTACTTCATTTAACTAAATCCAGAAAGAACCAAATCCAGTTCCCCCAAAAATATATATTTAAGAGGGACTTTTCTACAAGGGACAATTTTCAGATAAAAAACAAAGCTATAATTTGAATACACTCACCTTAAAGCTGTTTCTCATAGTTTCCATTACTACCACAACTATTACATTCATATAGTGCCTGTCATCAAGAAGGATCCCAAAGTGCTTAACAAATTCTACAGAATATAAGAAATCTGTCCACTCTAAATGCAGCTGCCACAGAGGCGAAACAACGTCAACTATTCAACTGTGCACAGCAGAAAGTGAAGAATACCATCCAAGTAAAGAGGAAGAATGTTTTGATAGTCAAAATTTTAATAACTGGGATGTGTCTGGAACATCAAGTTTAACACCCAGAGTCTTGTGAAAAATGCCAAGTATTAATTATAAAGACAAGGTGGGTATGACCTGAAGAAGAGCTCTGTGTAAGCTCCAAAGCTTGTCTCTCTCACCAACAGAAGTTGGTCCAATAAAAGATATTGTCCCTCACCCACCTTGTCTCTGATATCCTGGGACCAATATGGCCACAACAACACTGCATGCAAAGATTATGTTGAGTGATCACCGGTTCAGTTTTAAATTTCATTTGAAAGAATGTCCTCTAGGAGCACAGTGCCCACTGCGACTTGGATTCAACATGACTCAAAGGGAAAAGAATGACCTACTAATTTTCTGTAATATCAAAGTTTTCCTTTTGTATGTCCACCAAATACAAACCTCGCTAACCCTATGCAGCTCACAAGATCACAGCCTGATGATGACAGGCTGCAAGCCATGACCAGATTTCTCTTCAATAAGAGCCTCCTAGTTAATAATGTATTTTCACCTATTTGATTGTGCTCTGAAGTCATTATGAAGAATTTATGGTAACTTTCATAGAATATCAGGGTTGGGAGGACCTTGGGGGGGGTCATCTAGTCCAACCCCCCTGCTCAAAGCAGGACCAAACCCCAGACAGATTTTTGCCCCAGATCCCTAAATGGCCCCCTCAAGGATTGAACTCACAACCCTGGGTTTAGCAGGCCAATGCTCAAACCACTGAGCTATCCATCCCCACACCCTCCTTCCTTGGCAACAAACTGATATTAAAATACAACAGAAGGAGTTTCTACATACACAGATATACCACTGATGGGAAAATGTGTTATGTCAGTCACCAGTATCTCCTATGTCCAACTCGAACAGCAATGACTGGTTCCAAGGGAAACTTATCTACTGTCATTTGATGAGAAGGCTGAACAACAGAGATATAGATGCTTTTGAGGAAGTGGTGAGGAAATAAAAGGCAAAAACAGAGAGTATCGGACAACCCTTGCACCCCCAGAGAGAAAAGTTCAATTAAAACTAACAAATAAAATAAAGGAAAATAAGCATTCTCTTGTCCCCTTTTCCCCCACCCACATGTATGCATGCACATGTACACACACAAAGGAAAAGAAATATGAGACAAAAAGGTTGAATTTGATGGATTCTCTGTCATGTGAAGTATTTATTTTAAATCAAGACTGGATGTCTTTCTAAAAAGAACTTTTGGCTTAACTAAAGCATACGAGGTTCCTTGATGCAGGAATCACAAAATGATATTCTATAGTCTGATCTCCTGCATAACACATGCTAGATGATCATAATGGTCCCTTCTGGCCTTAAAATCTATGAACCTGTACTTAACATGACAAAACTTGAGAAATTCCAAGTTAATGTTAAAGCTGAACTGACATAACCAAAGCCAAAATGCCTGATCTGGAACACTACTGCAAGCTGAAAGGGGAGTTAACAGTGGATTTTAAGACTTTATTCTAAGTACCAGAGTTTTGTGGGACATCAGAAAATTGTTACTGCTGAGCTATTAGTGATTGAAGATTTATTTAAAACAAAAAACAAACAAAAAAAACCCCAAACCACAAATAAAACTAGAAGTTACATTTTCAAGGGAATCTAGACAGACCATTACTATTAGTCTATACAACAATGCCTAGCCATACATGTGATGTGCATCTCAGCAGTCTAGTGCTCAGCCTTATAAGTGGTGCTTTTCATTTTATAAGTACTTCTCCCTATGAGTTAACTGTAACAAACAAATCATTTGAAGAGAAAGTGTCAAGGTAAAGTGAACTGAACATCCCAAAATGATGCTTTAGATGCTTATAAAACAAAAGTTCTATTCAAACAAGTTAATAAAGTTTTAGGACATGTTAAATACATTTTGTATGTTTTGTTTAATTCATTTATGAATCAAACGTCCTTGATGAGCAATTTTTTTTAAAAAGTCCTTTTTTACTAATATTTATAATCCTAAACACATTACATTAAATATATTTTCTGCCACAAATTACCTCTAGGTAACTGGAAAAAAGGAGCTTCTGATTAAGAAAGTAAATCACTTTCCTTTTATTTATCCATGATAGCATTTACAAGATTTCATATACAGTAGCAACTTAAAATAAGTTTAACTGAATTTTAGCCAATACAAATAACATCACTCTTTTATGTTATGCTTTTGAATCTTCCAAGTGACAACTCTTAATAGACAACATATCTGGAAAGCAAAACAAGATTATTATAAAATATGGCTATTTTATTCAGACTACACAATTCTGTGCTTAATAAATAAAGTCAAGAAATTGCAAAGAAATATGTGCTTCATAGATTCATTGTCTGACTCTACTGAAATCTAGCAAACGCTTTCATAGTCTCTTTTGCATAGTAAATGAAATGTTTAAATACATAGATAATCCCAATAACAAATTTTAATGCCAACAGGTTCTAGGAGTACAGGTACGTTTCTACACAGTGGGCAAATTTCAACTGCTCTGTAGAAAGGATTTATATTATTTACTAAACAAAGGCTAACAATGCAAACAATACTAATCATTTCTTGCTGTACTGTTGAAATACAATATAAAATATGTTTATTTTCAGCATCTTCCTACCTTTATATTCCAGAGGGCCAAATACTAGCCGCATTGACCATTAAGGGGGTTTAAGTCCCATTAGATAATTTTTCTTCTTACTAGGATTCAAACTGCCTTTTTGAATAAGCAAGTCTACAACAAAGCCCATGCTGCCTGAGCAGCAGCACTGAAATACTAGCAAATGGGAATGGAGCTATTTGCATTTGTTGGTTTAAGAGATGGGGGAGTGGAGGGAAGTGAGAGACTGCTAAAGTAATTCGCATATTGTCTGCAGGCTGTATTGACAGTGATCATCAGTCACCTGCTCATACTTCCTTCACCCCTGCCTTCAGAGGGAGACCAAAGGTTACACTGGGTCAAAGAATCTGGAAAGAAATGAAAAGACATGCAAAATCTAGCTGCCAACCCACTGCATCTGTAGACAAAGTTATCCCCGCTGGACCACATGTTCCAAAAACTAAGACGTTTTAATAGTCTCAAGAGAACTTGTTAAAATATATCAATGAAAAGAAGAGAGAAAAAACACCAAGCTCTGCTTGCAATTACTGCAGCATTTAGCAGGGATATTTACAACAGAAAAAGCACATTTGCTTTTTTTCAGGACACTGCTTTGCATTATAATGGTCTTCTCATTTGCACAAACAAAACAAAGCATTTGTTTCATGCTGCTCTACTGAAAAAATAAAATATCAACTGTTCAAGTTTCATTGGTTTTATGCATATAATTTAGTGAGCAGTGTTGTTTCCCATGTCTCTTATCCTAAGTAAAAACTATAAGAAAAGATAAACTAAACTAAAAATATTATACACCATAGAGTAAGCAAATAAAATGTTAAATGTTAATAAATATTCAGAGTTTTCATAGTTTACAGAGCTCTCTAATTACACTACTATATTCTAGGAATATAAGTTAATACATAAACAAATTAAAGATCTTTCATGCTTTCAATTATTAGTAACATGACAACATTTTCAAAAGCTCCAAAGTTGTCATTATCCAGAGAACACAAAATCTGTAACTCTGTACCAAATATTTAGAGGAGCAAAAAAATTCAAATATCCCAGGACCTCAAATCCTGCAACACTTACCGAGGGTCCAGTCCTTGCACATGCAAAGCCAGTGAAGTCAACTGGTACTACTTGCTAGAGTAAAGCTTTCAAGGATCAGGTTTTTGTTCAGGGCCAAATTCTGCTTACCTTATTCATACAAGCAGGACGAGTGACTGAGTGGACTGAATCTTTGCAGAGGACTGCAGAATTTGAACCCAGAATGTTTTACTGGGTATTTCCTGTTAGATTTATTCAGATTTATAAGGCTATCGGTAAATGTAATGCTACAGAAGAACTCAAACATAGGGGAAAAGGAAAAACTACAGTTCAGAAGACTGAAGATTAGTGCAATTCCAATTAATAGAATTCTCCTTAAAAATTCCATATCAATTCTTTCATTTTATGTCGTTCATCTTGAGCAAAGTCATAAAACTACAGAATTTGTAACATATTTGGAATACTGTACTAGGACATTCTGTTGCTTCAGACAGTTGCCCATAGCTGATTATAAAAATAATTATTAGAAACTCTGAAGTGAAATTACATGAAAACAGACCCCAGCCTTAATCCTGTGACAGATCTGTGTGCAGAACTCCCTTGAACTTCTGGGCACAGAGCACTTGCTAGAATAGGCCCAAGATGTCAATTTGGGGAACAGAATGATTTTATTATGCAAAAAAGTTATACGAGTTTAACATTAAATCACATTGTTGTCTTGCTTGTGTTCTTTATTATATTACTAATTCCTAGTAGTATAGTAGTGACTTCGGGCCCCTGGAGAAGACTGCCC